AAATTGTTCACTCACTTCGTGGCTGTTTGTGGGACATTGGTATGTGTAAATTGGCTGCTAGGTTTGCCTACAAATACTCAGTCACTGCTCTTGACAGAAAAATCCTATGAAATGCTTTATGACATCTCAATGGCATGATAAGGCTCTGTACGAAAGGATTATTCTTAACTCAGTAGATCATGCAGTCAGTTTGGTTCCTATTCTTGCTACACCACTGCGATTCTAGAATGTGATAACCCAGCAAACAGCTCTGACCACACACAATCGTTTTTTAGTTTGAAAAAAAATCAACTACAGAACTGCTATCAACAACAACAACAACAAGATTCCATTTATTGAGCGCCTTTCACGTCGGGAGGACGTCCCAAGGCGCTGTACAGTTAGGTCAGGACCCGAGCAAGGGGAAGAATGGTCAGGGTGAGGGGAGGGAGCGAGGAGGGGGTAGAGAGTCGAGAGGGGAGCTGAAGGCACGGTCAAAGAGAAAGGTCTTGAGACCGGCCTTGAAGGAGGAAAGGGAGGAAGCAAGGCGAAGGCACTGGGGGATAGAGTTCCAGAGCTGCTAACTTGGCTAGGTCAAAAAAGGAGCGAGATGTCAGAGAAAAGCCTATTTTGTACTTAGATTATGAATTGAAGAGAAAACTGGCTGGCTCCAAGGAGTGTGTTTTAGTGACTTGGAGCCAATTCAAAAATGTTCTGCTTACTGCTACAGTGCAACAAAAATATCAGTTGGAACCAAAATTAGTTTCAAGACTATGGTTTGACAAACTCCACATTGCAAATGGGAGCGGTGTGTCTTCGAATACTGTTGCCGAAGAAACAGTACGTGATCCCATTTACAAGCAAGCTTTGCTGTGATAGACCGGAAAATCAATGTGTATAATTCACTTGGTACATTTTCCCGACCACCTGAAAACCAAAGCGAACCTCTGTGCATCGCCAGTAAATTTTACAGTCAAAACAGTAAAATGTTCAAATGTAGATGATCCGATTAGACAGGCTTGAGCACAGAAGAGGGAAGGTGAACAGGCCGTTCAGATTGAATTACTTTGCATCGAGAGTGGTGACTCCATGGATGGACCACCCAGAGACAGTGGAGGCAGAATGATTCAGCAAATTGAACGTGGAATTAGATGGCTGTTTGGTGAAGAAATTGATTTGAAGGGTCTGTGTGTGTGTTTGAGAGAGAGAGAATGAGAGAGAAACAGTAGTATATAGCCATTATTTTAGCTTGGGGACTTCTCAGATGAACCACAATAGTCACTTCAATTCCTGTCTGTTCCTGGGCTACACTCTATTGATATTTATTTAGCATTGCACAACATTTTGTGATTTCATAGCCCTAATTGCAAAGTTGAACCAAACCCATGCAACCTCTGATTACTTTTGCTGGAAATTCTTTTTCCTAACAAAAGGATTTGATATTTAATATCAGGTTTCCAATGCAGCTCCGTTGTAAACCTTTCATTTCCCCTTTTCCACGGTGCAGGCTCAAGCTCCATTATAGTCGCTGTAGAAATTTAAATCTTGGTTGGCTGCACCATTTTGAGAAAGAAGCTTTTTGTTTCTTCCTGTAAAAAGAATTGAGCTCAGGGCAAGGGATGTCAGCAGGGGAAGGGAATGCTTTCCCATTTATAGGCAAGTCAAGTCAGTATCGAACAGTTCCAGGTCAGGAACAACATGCCCAGTCAGAAGGCCATGCAGACAGACAGCTGTTGCTTCTGCGATGGTGCTCAGTCAGGCGTTGCTGACAATGAGGGTTGTTATATAATGAATGCTAGAAATAGCCTCTTTTTACACTATGTCTTTTGGTCTAACATGAGATTTCCTACTTTAATAATAATAATCATTGCATTTGATATACCGCCTTATCACATTGTTGAAAAGTCTCAAAGCACTTCACAGAAATATATTGCAAAGTGGATTGACTGTGTATTTTGTGGGCGAAATGCGGCAACCGTGTTCCACAACCAGCTGTGGATTGAGTGACCACATTTTTTTGTTGGAGGGATTGTTATCCCTGGAAAGCGATTCGCCAATTCAATAACAGAGGTATGTGGAGTAAGAAACTTGTTTTGAACAAGTAACAAAAAGATCTCTGCTTAAGCATCCAATATAAACCAGGCCCCACTTGTTGGGCATTGGGATTGAGGTGAGGGATCATGTGTCTTTCCATCCCTCCTGCAGGTAACTTGAGACTTCCTCTTGATGCCTCCCTCCAGTATTCTAGCTTAAGGTTGGGAACTTGCTATATGAGGAATTGCAGCCCAAAGTTTGTGTGCTACCAACTTTGAGGCACAGCACATTAAAGCACTTCTTTCACCTGATCCATCACTAATTTAAGCCTGTTCACTGTACCTCCAGTTGGTTTTCTCCTCACCAGTAAAAACCAGAGTAATGCTGCCTCGGTCTGGACTTATTCCAAACCAAAGCAAGGCATTAGCTGTTGTTTGAAATCCATTTTAATGATGATTTAAGTAGCAGTAAGCTCTACAATCCATAGGAGCTTGATTGACATTCATTCATGGCTTAAGAGCTGTGAGCATTGCTGGTCCCTCAGTCGTTTTATCCACAAGTAATCACTGGGAAGCTTTGGGGGATTTAGAAGTTGCAATAACATATTTTCACTTCAGTGCTCTTAAAGGGATTGAAACCGTGTCAAAAAAGTTAGCAGGCAAATGTAGGATGTGATTCAACTAACTGGATTCATCGCTCGTCCATCACTAAAGTTAGCGATCTTTTAAATCCTGTCATAAAGATGTAGATGAAACTCATAGGTATTAGCAAACTACATGTGGCAGGCTTACTGTAGCTGTTTCAGGAGCGAATGTGACTATTTATTCAATTTCACAATGCTTTCATTACACCAGCACATTTATTATATATACTATATGGTATATAGTATCTGAAAAAGCCACACACACACATGGAGGGAGCTGTGGATTTGAGGCCTTGTCCCACTTCCTCCTCCTTCAACAGTGCAGCACTCTATCCCTCCTTCCCCCCACGCCCCTACCAATACTACACAGGGGAGTGTCAGCCTGGACTGTGAGCTCAGCTTGTGGCTCTGTCTGCAGTGGTCTCACTTCAGAGGCAAGAGGTTGTGGGTTCGCTGTGCACAAAGTTGTCTGTTGGGTTCGCCCACTAAATACACAGTCACTACCCTTTACAGTGAATCCTGAGAAGAGCATTGGGACGTACTCCTGATGTGAAAGGAGCTATACCAAATGTTAGGATAATTATTACTATTTTTAAATATTCTAGCTAACACATACCCATTAGGATAAATGTGACAACCTTTTGGGATGCCTATTATTTTAAAATCCTCCTCATTTTAAGGATGAGTGGAACAAATTGCAACACTCTCCTTATACCACCTGGGCCTGATTTGGATCTGATGAGATGAAAGAGTCTCTGTGTCTCTTTGGCAGCTGTAAGGAAGGGCCATGTATAAAAGGAGTTTGTACAGACTCAGCCCTGTTCCTTGTGAGGTACAGGTTCATAGCACAAGCTGCAGCCATGAGTTGGCATAAAACTGGCGTTCTGATTCGGTGAGGCCAAGAGTGTGGCTGGTGGTAGAAATGGCAAACTGTCACCATGGCACAGCAAAGGTTCCTCTGCTGAACTCAAGGTTCAGTCACAGTCCTGAGGAAATGCAGAGAGAGTTTTACTCTGCTTCTTACCTGATGTGTGATCTGGAAATGCTGGTGGCCAGCACCTGGTCTCAGACGTGAAAGATACATAGTCACTACACTTTTATAGTCAAAATCCTGCAAAGCATTTTGAGATGTCCTTCTGATGTGAAAGGCACTGTATCAAATTCAACAATTATTAATGTGAAAATTGACAAGCCTTTGTAGATCTGTTAGATTCTCGCTGATGAATCCTGAGTTTTTAATCTGTGTTCCTTGCAAAAGTGAGATGAAACAAACAACAGGTTGGCTACTCTACATAGAGCCATGCCATTCCCTGGGCTGAAACTCACACTTGACAGTTGAGGTAACTTGGCTTCATTTGGAGACGGAGTCTTATTTTCAAACGATCTCTTGACACGCAATACAACAGTGGCTGGTGCACATCCACTCACTCACAACGCAAACTAACAATAAATATTTTATGCCCCTAAATAACAAGTATTCATCATCTCTCTCAGGTTCTAGAGGCCTGAAGCAGCACAGAAAGCCAAGGGCAAAAAGTCATGCAGGAAATGAGGCTGTATTATTCTGAACCCAGGTTGTGCGAGTAGAATTGAGCTGGTTAAGGCAAACATTCCTCTCGACTCGTTAAACTGTCAAGTCACTTTGTTTAGCCAATTTCTTCATTACATTCAATTCCATTATAGAACAGCTAGGAGCTTTCCATCAGGGAAACTAGCTCTTAAAGGGCAATCACTGCTCCCCAGTAAAATTGTCATTGCAAGCGCTTTTGACTATTTATACAGACAGTGTTGTAATTTTACAAATGACACAGTCGTCTTGTGCTTTCTACAGCCCCCAAAACAGCATTGCTCCTCTCTCTGAAGTACATTTAGCATTCTCAATGATGCCATGCCTCTTACCCTTTTACTGGGTAGAAGAACTGAGCCTCTCGTAAGCAGCTGTCACGTGGTAACATGGCTGAGATGTGGACTTCAGCCCTTGTTCCATAGTGGGTTTGAACCCTGGTTCCTGACCCCCGTTGTCCAGTGGTTTAGGTCCCAACAGGTTAGAGCTTTGTACTGTCCTCCACACAGCTTACCAAACACAGTACACTCTTTCATACTGTACACACAACAGTGTGACCCACTCTTATACTGTACATACAGCAATGTAACCCATGCTTATCCTGCACACACAGCAACATGTCCCATTCTTATACTGTGCACACAAGCAAAGGATAAACCTCAGTACCACAATCCACCATCATTAACACACTGTAAAGAACCCGTCACTTTGCCCTGAGCTGCCAAGTCTCTCAGAAATGGTGTTTGCTGCATGGTACACATGGTTGCCTGCAGTCCTTACCTGTTTGTGGGGGTAAACGTTGATGTGGCACTTGATGCATTCTTGGCCCATGTTGGCCCAGGAGTTACCACTCATCCACTTTCTTTTGCACTTTGGACATTTGTATTCACCGAAGCACCTCTTCTTTCCCTGGTAAGGGGTCAGGCCTTCTCCCTTGGGACGGGCCTGGAGGTTTAACAGACATAAAGGAATATGTTGAAAAAGACATTACACTGACATAATGTGCACATACATACACACATAACCCCTACACCCCCATGCTCGGGCCCTGACACCTGACCGTTCAGCACTTTGGGACGTCCTCCTGACATGAAAGGTGCTCTATAAATGTAATTTTGTTGTTGTTGTTGTACATACATTTACACCAAATGGAAACTGGTGTTTTCAAAAAAGGTATTTCTAACCAATTTCCAATTGTCTCCCATGACTTCAGTTATTGCATTTATTTGTCTTGCTCTTGGGTGAGGATAATTAGAAAGCAAGACCTTGGATTTTTATATCAATTCATCAACAACAACTCACATTTACACTTTGCCCTTCACGTGGGGTAATGTCTCAAGTAACCACCAGCAAGTGTAGTGACTGATTTCTTTTTATTCCAAACACACAGAAAGTGTTTGTAAAGTACATAAATCTTAAAGTCAAAAGGAAATGTCTGCAGAAGTGAGGTGCCAAAACTATGTTCAACTCATTGTTAAAATGGCTGCAGTTTAGAGTATGAGAGAAATCCAGGTTTTTAGAAGGAAATCGCTCTGCCGAGCACACGTACAGACACCTCAACAGTCGTATTGACGAGTGCAGCTGTGTGCTTGCTGATGCAGACACTGGCTGATGTGAGAGACATTCCAAGTAGTAGTGACAAAATATATTTAAATTTTCCTTCGATGGGTCGGGCGTCTTGGCCAGAAGTTCTCGGCGTTTCTGTGCAGTGAAAGTCCTGTCAAAAATGGCGCTGCCCTGCAGTAATCTCTAGAGTTCTGTTTCACAATTGCAGCATAAAAGAGTATGCAACGAGAGACAGGTCTTTGGCCCATCAAACCCTCTCTTTGCAGTGGACCCATATATTATTAGTCGTGATTAAAGTTGGTTACTCACTGTGAGCTGACAACAATCCAACTCATTGAAAAGCAACTGGGAGGAGGTGTGGGGTGGGTGATTTTTTTTGTTTAAAGCCAGTTTTACAGACTGGGAATACACAGAGTTCCTTGCGAATGGAGTCAGGCAGACAGCAAGGCAATGATTGGGGTTCAAAGTGGGACCGGGAATGATGAACAAAGCATCATCGCCATGGTGACCCTCAAATTGCAAACAGAAGTTCCGCTTTAGCTGTAATATAAAGATGACAGGATTTGAAGATCACCAAAAGTGGTCAGTCAAAATCTAACTTCATTCTCATATTCTCTTCCATCTCTCCTGAAGGCTCTGATTCATGTTGGGTCTGGTTCCACTGTTCCCTCCAACTATATGTATGTATCCTTGCATTTGGTGTAACACCTTATCGCGTATTCGAGACGTCTCACAGCACTTCACGGAATATACTGTAAAGTGAATTGACTGTATATTTTTGTGGGCAAAATGCGGGAGCCAATTGTGCATGGCAGTGTCTCACAAACAGTCGTGGATTGAGTGATCAAATTATTCTTTTTCTCCTGTAAAGTGTAGTGACTGTGTTTTGTGGGAAACGCAACAGCCAAGTTGCACTAAGAAATGTCCCACAAACAGCCGTGAAGTGAATGGCCAACCTTATTTGGGGGATTATCGGTCAAGACATCGGGAGAAACTAATTTCTCTTTTCAAATAGTGCCATGGGATCTTTAACGTCCATTTGGACAAGCAGACAGGGCCACAGTTTAACGTCTCATTTGAAGGATGGCACCTCTGACAATGCAGTGCACCCCCAGCACAGCACCGCACTGGAGTGTCATCTTAGACTATGTTGGTCCAAATCCCGATGTGGGGCTTGAACCCACAACCTTCTGACTCAGAGGTGAGAGCGCCACCACTGAGCCAGACTGACATGTCTATGGTACCAGCTTCTCTGGAACCTTGCTCATTCTTGTATGAGAGTGGAACTCCTTACCTCCCGCTCTTTCCTTCCTTTAGGAGCCCATTCAGACCATTCGACCCACTTAGTAGATGTTGACAGATCGTTTAATCCCATTTTCTTGTCTTTTCTCCACATCCCTTATATACTTACTTTCCAAGGGAGCTTCTCTCAGTGTCCTGGCTAACAATTCTTCAGGTAAATTAGTCATTATTTTCATGACTGCTTGTGGGACTTGTGTGCAAATCCAAGTTTGCTTACAAATACGGAATAACAGCATTGCCAGCAATTCCCTGTGAAATGCTTTGATACAGTTATTCTAATAACATGTGCATGCCTTTAAAACCCAAGATTGGTATCACCTAACTATTTCCTCCTGACATGTCTATGTTCTTTTCAGTCCTTGTCTGGCTCTCAGCCCCCTTCACTTTAAGTTCTGGATCAAAAAAAAAGGCTATTTGAGTTGGGGGCCCATCACATTTGATCTGATCCTGTCCTTATCCATATCTACACACATGCACTTTGCTTTCAATAACAACATGAAATGCAGCATAGGGAATGGGTCACACCATTCATTCCTCAATGTGCTGTGTTTAAGTAAAAGGGATAGGGAGAGCGAGCACTTTACTGACTGGAATTTTTCAGCCAGGATTTGTCAGCGTCTTGGAATGTCCTCACAACATGAGAAGCGAGCGCATTATAAATACAAGTTGTTGTTTGTTCTTGTTTGCTCTTGTTTGTTGTTGTTTGAATAAAAATACTGTAAGAATAGCAATCCTTGCATTTGATATATAGCGCTTTATCATGTCATTGTGAAGTCTCAAGTGTTTCACAAGATTTACGGTAAAGTGTAGTGTAGGTGAATGAGGCATCTAATTTACAGCAATATCCCACAATGCAGCTTTTAAGGGAATGACCATTGGGGACTGCTGGCCAGGAAACCGGGAGAAACTCCCAATACATTTCTAAAACCTGAGATGTCATATCACAACTTCAGCTTGTTATTGTTCCGTTCCAGGAATGTTGCAGTCTTGTCAACAGCCATGACTGTGATGCTGGGAATCTTGTAAACTGCCAACACAAGACCATCAGAAGGGCTTTATTGAGGAAATGGATGCCACAATGTTGGCCATTTTAAGTGAAGGGATTGAGGAATGCTCTGTCTTTGCACTTTCCAGCAGTAATGTGTTTTTTTCCAGGAATTTATATAAATTGTACAAGTGGTTTCACTGCTCAGCCAACTGCATGACAGGATTGACTGTGTGAGCTCCAATTTCAAAATTTCAGCCTCAATCATCGAGAGTAAGACGAGTCAATTTAATTACTTTTCCAAAAAAACTATCAAACACACACACGTACACCTACACATACACACAAAGCTTTTCAACATAAATTGCTCAGGATTTGGTTTTAATCGTATCTCCTTCAAAATTTATTAAATCAAGCAAGATTCTAGAGAGAAACAAAACAAATTGACACGTACTTACTAACTGAAAAGCAGAACAACAAGCTCTGTTCTTCTGTCTACTTTTCCTCTTTCTCTGCCTGTTCAGGTGGATGTTAAAGATGCCAGGGCATTATTCAAAAAGAGAAGAGAGTTTCTCCTGGCATCCTGGCTAAGAATCCCCCCAGATAAAAACATTGGTCATTCATTTCATGGCTATTTGTGGGACATTGATGTGCACAATTGTGCTGCTGCATTTGCCTACAAATCCACATTCATTTAATTTCACAGTAATTCCTGTGAAGCACTTTGAGACATCCCTCCAACGTGATATCAAATGTATCAAATGTAAATGCAAGCATTATTATTTTTCTCACCAAGCTTTTGCTGCTTACTCAATGGTGCTCCATCCAAATCATTCTTGCTGAAGCCCAGGGTAACTTGCCAATGAGAATGGCTGATGTGGGAGTAAGAGAGAATTTCCCAGCTGGAATGCCAATCAAGATTGCTATTCAAGACCAGACCTTCTATAATAATCCAGGACACTAAATCTCTAAAAATCCCATCAAATATAAACACACAGTCACTATACTTTACAGTAAAGTCCTGTGAGATGCTTTAAGATATTCCGACGATTGCAAGGATGATGATTTATTATTAATATGTACTCTGAACTGCTGCTGAAAGATGAGTTGACTGACTGTTAGTCTCCCATACTCTCTGCTTTGTTTCTCTGTGCTCAGCCACTAGATGGTGCTAAAATGTGACCCACAATAGAAATCTTGACTTCACCATCGCTTGGACCCTTCTTCGCTTGATAGTCACAACCTGTTAAGTCCGATATCTCAGTGACGGGAAAAAACAGAGGCATAGGCACACACCTAATAATAATCCCGCCAAAAAAAAATAATAAATAATAAATTGGTGATTTTCAATCCATGACTGTTTGTGGGACATTGCTGTGCGCAATTGGCTGCCGCGTTCGCCCACAAATATACAGTCAATTCACTTTACAGTATATTCTGTGAAGTGCTTTGGGAAGTCTAGAAGTCGTGAAAAGCGCTATATCAAATGCAAGGATTATTATATTATTATAAAACGTGTGTGTTTTTCATTGAATTGACATCACAGGGTTGGGAGGTGAGCAGTTTCAAAAGGAGCATCATATGGCATACGAGGCTTAGCAACAATAAAATTGGGCTCTACAATAACCTGACGGGGTGCATTTTGTGTAAAGTATTGGGACAATTGTTGACCCCCACCCCTCACCTCCCCCGTCACCTCCCCCCCATTTCACTTTACGGCTACACACTTAAAACTGAAATGCGAGAATTAATGGCTGGGAAACTTCTGTCAGACTCTAGGTGCTTTCAGGCGACTTTCAGTTTGAAAAAAACTTTCAGTTTTGAAACTGCAAGTGCTGCATTTGAAGGCAGTTGAGAACAAATACGATTATTGTCAATGGTTTCAGTTTCAGGCACATTTAATGAATCTAAAACCTGGGAATGTGGCAGCTGTGTTGGTTAGCCCTTGTGAGCTGCTTTGGTGTAAAAACAACAGGTGCTCACCAGAGCATTGGATCCACTGGATTTTACAGAGGCTGATGGAGAACATCAATACTAGCTTCAACATCAGCTTCAATCAACCGTAAAACAACATACATCCCTCCCCACACCA